TCGAGTTTACTAAAAATCAGGTCTAATAAAACGGTAATCATTTGAACACTCCATTGTATAACAAAGATATGAGAAATGTATCAATAAAACGGCAGTAAAAAAGGGAAGGAAGTCAAATAGTGTTGATGATCAAAAGGCTACTGGCTGCATTCAGGTCATCGGCCTACACAACCCGATCTTCAAAGTCCTTGTTCCTTAACCTCTTTGACACGTCTCTCAACCAGTTATCGAGCCGGTCTTCTAAAAACAATATGATTGACTGGTGAGGGAACTTTAATAATCAGGTTTTTCTCAGGTTTCATAAGTTGATTGTAAAATAAAATAAATGGAATCTAATTCATAGATAGATTATCCAAACCATTTTCTTCATCGCTGCAATACGGACAAAGAACTTTCGCCTGCAAAATAAATGATTTACATAGAAAGCTTTAGGAAATTTAAGACTCAGAAAACCAACTGACAGAAAGAATTTAAAAATGGAAAAATAACATTTAAAGAACAATTTGATGTTCCATAGAAGTACTTGAAAGTTTATATTATCAAGCTTAGGCAAATCCAGAGTTTCAAAATTAAGCAGTATCTGCATTGGAGAATAAACAAACTATGTACTTAGTGAACTTTCCAGAAATTGAATAGTGAATCTGCATGTGGTGAATCACGGTTAGCTCAAAAAAGACAAACAGTTTTTCAATCAATTTCGGCAGTTCACTCCGTCTCTCACATACCATAAAGTAATCTTAATCTATCCGCAAGTATAGCTTCATGGTTCAAAATTGGATGGTGTGCTTATATTCAGAAAGAACCCAAGTTTTTCGTTGAAAAAATTTGGTTAATGTTAACGTTACGGCTCATTACACAGAAAAACACCAGCCTCACAACAGTACAATTGTTCTTGAATTTATTTAAGCCATCCCTTTGGCGACCGGAAAGAGAAGAAAAATCATCCAAAATTCCGCTAAAAGTACAATCAAATATGATTTTTAAAGATATTCGAACCTTATTTACTCCTTCTACTGATCTCAGCCTTCCTCGTTTTGCAGCATTCAAGTCCTAAAATAGCTTATAGTGCTGTACAGTTTACCATGACGATCGAAAATGAAGGACCGGATATAAAAATATAACGTTGCGTTCCTATAAACGGCTGCACAGCCAATAAAATGAGTTTGGAAAGTGAATGAGCCGACAATGTGCTGCCTATATAAGTGTTGTTAAATACAGTTAAAAGTGTAGTATACAACTGTTCCAAGCTTGATAAAACTCTTTAAAAAGAAGGAAACCTCAAAACGGAACTCGCTTTTTATCCACCATTTTAAAACTAGAACCAATTCTTCCAACTTATTTTAAACTTCATCGACCGGGATCTACCAATAGTTATATTAAAACTTCAACTCCGTTTTAACTCATACAGCTGGATCCTTAGCAGCTTTAAAGTTTAAGCTTATCTAGTCATCAGCTGTGCATTGGTTTACAGACAGAGAAACGGCAGCGTATTAGTTTTGCAGCCTGAAAATTTAAATGCAAAAATTGAAGACGTAGAACGACCTGGTGATTAAGAACACGAAGTCCTCTCAAAACACGAACGTCGCTGAGTGGGAATGAGCAAAACATAGAAAACAATGGACTATGGAAGTTCTGAAATCGAAAAATGTTCAAATTAACAGGTATTAACAGGTAATAATACTATGAAGTCTGAAACATAGCGACCATCTGAAACAAGAACTGACCTCTTTAGAACTCTGGAACCTGCCACTTTTCAATAATTGAAACTGTTTTTCGTAGTGATTCTGAAAAATACGATATGATACTACTAACCTAAATAAAAAAACCTATGCTGGTTAGTTTTTTTTAAAAAATGCATGGAAACTCTGTTTCGCAAAGAAATTAAATAAATGGTAGAATGAAATAACTCTTCAAATAAATTCAGACCTCTGAAAGAGCCTCGCTGCAGACGCTTTTATTATCTTCTAAAACAAAAAAAAAAAAGTAAGAAGTTCGGAAAAAGTAAACGTTAATTCACGTTTATTTTAAAACAAAAGAGCAGCTGTATTTTGACCACACGAAACAAATAATTGACCAAAGAATTCAACAAGAATCCATTAATTGAGAGCGACTTTGAAACGCTTGTTTAAAAAAAGACATAAAAACTGCATTTGTCGAACGTACCAATCATAAGTTTAGCAGCAGAGGATATATCCTTAACGAAATCACTCTTCGATTCCGGTTGGATTACCTGAAATTTTTATTTGTGAGTCATCCTGAAGTAATAATTTTTTCAGGCAGAGTACCATACGAAACAGTTTTATGTTGAAGAAACTAATATTAGCACCATGGAGGGGTAAGACAGGCGGCAACATTACCTCCTCCTGAAACAGAATGAAAATATTATAATGAAGAAAAAATTATGCTCTATCACTCCTACCTTCACTATCCTGAAGGTCAGCATC